GCTAAAGCATCGACATGACAGGCTAGCCAGGCCAGCCACCTAACAACGAGGAAAACGCGTTGCCAAACGTCTTACCGCACCACGCTGTGGCGAGATATAGGAGCACAGCGGTATAAGGCCCGATCTACAATAGATGGAGTAAGGAGTAGGAATAAGACGAAATCGAAATAATTTATTTCGCTTACTCCCTTACTCCAGCTCCTTCAGCTTTTACTACTTAATTCAGGCTTACTCCATGTGATATATACGGGCAAACTTTTATTGGAGTAAGGGAGTAAGCGAAATAATTATTTCCATTTCGTCTTACTCCTACTCCTTACTCCATCTATTGTAAATCGGGCCTAAGTATAGGCAGTAGTGCATTGTCTTTTAATCGCCACGCGCGACATCCGCGCGCTTTATTACTGAGATGCACTGTGACTCGAGCGGTTCGTCTTCTACCATTCAACACACGCTTTTTGCTTAATCTTTCGTAATTAATTTCTCAGTTATTATTACGAATATCGCAAAACGATATAGGACTTTTATATTTATTTTAATCCGCTCTACGTTCTCACGAGAGCTTCGTGGATTGTTCTGAGACACCCTGTATACGTGTGTGTGTGTGTGTGTGTATGTGTGTGTGTGTGTGTGTATGGCGATAGCGTTCCAATAAGTTTTCGTCGCGAAATTGAAATCTAACACGCCGGCAAGCGCGGTAAATTCGTTATTTATTCGTCCGGACGCGCGTAATCCGTAACAGCGTCGAAACTTTCTCTCGGAATGGCCCGCGCTACATCGTCGATCGTATAGCGTGTAGAGAGTGCACGAGCGTTGCGTGTGCGTGTGCGTGTGCGTTGTAGGCCCCTATCGCTCGTTTCCCCCGTGAGCAAAACTTAGGACCTGCGTCCTGCGTTTATCCTTTAATTCGCATGCCGGTGTCCTGTTCGTTTACCGAGCCAGCGCGCTTTGTTCCAACTTTTACGGTGCATTTTTATTCCTCGTGGAAAGATCTCCCTCGGTCATTTTGGAGCATTGCATTTGTCGAGATATGATTATATATTTTAATGAAATCGCACTCGACGCATGGTTATTAGTTTTCTATCGTAATATTTTATACATTCGATACGCCGTTGCATTTCATAATCTCATGGTTCCGCGATATTTTTGTTACAATGTACTCGCCGCCGGAAAATTCCAACTTTTATTGAAACGTGACGTTTTAACGTGTTTTGAAATATAATTCCGCGATATCGGATATTTCGGTCCTCTCGATGGTGAACAATTTTTACATCATGTGTCCATATACGCACAACCGCGCATAGGGGTATATTCGCGGATCATCAGCAAGGAAAATAAGGGTGAGCGCGGTCGCGAGATATTTGAAATAACGTCAAGAGCGAGCGATATTTGATTGTCAATAAGTCTGCGAGCGTAAACGATTCGTCACAGAGAGACGAATAAAATGTAGAAACACGTAAAAGAGAAAAAAAGGAGGAGGGAAGGAGGCAGGATAAAAAAATTTCCGTCTCGTCGCAGTGATCTTTCTCGGTCTTGATTTCCTTCGCGTTCACGTAAAACTCGCGGATTGCGTTGCAGCAGAAAATCATGCATCTCCATTTCATCTTATTAACAGATTCTCCTCGGATTTATCCTTCGCGCGTGAACGACGGCGCACGTGACTAGCATGACGTCCGTACGTGCGATGCGTAAGCGTTTCTTTGCCTCTTTACGCATTGCCAACACACGAAGCTCGGCAAGAGTTTCCATCAGCGAGAGTGCATCACGAGAGGCATCACAGTGATGCGCGCGTAAATTCGATCCGGCCTGGAATAGAAGGCACGCGAAATTCAAGAACGAGAACGTGATTCTCTCTCTCTCTCTCTCTCTCTCTCTCTCTCTCTCTCTCTCTCTCTCTCTCTCTC